ATATTACTCATCATCCTCCCTTAAGATATTTTTTTATTTAACAAGAGTTAAGTATCAAAAAGTAAAGAAAAAACATTAATGAGTGAATACGAATGGATTAATTCAAGACAAACATATTCAATGCATTATGATTAATATTCAAGAATCAACAAGTTTCGCATACAAGAAAGTACTGAACCAAAGCAAGAAAGATTACAAATGAGAACTGAAAATGAAACTAGAAATTACTACGTTGAGGAGACCAGTCTCGGTATGGACTTGTTGCTTCAGATGATGATCTGGCAATCTTGACATTTACTGAGTCGAAGGAGACCTCAAATTTAACTGACTGGCCCAAAATTGATAGCCTTTGCATCAAGCAGGTCTTGCACATTTTCTTTGAAAGCCCAGCAGTCTTCAATGGAATGACCTAGTGCCCCAGCATGGTAATCACACTGCACATTAGGATTGGAATCCATAGAACAAGGAGGAATTACAGGCTTCAGTGGCTTGGGTTCCACCAAGGAAAGCTTGAGTAACTGAGAGAACAGCTGGCCATAAGTCAAAGGAACAATGTCGAACACCCTCTTAGGCTTCTTATCCTTTTGCTTACCTTTTTGCGTATGTCTTTGTTGATAGGTTTGTTGCCGAGTAGCACACTGAGCCAAGTGAACACGAGGAACATTCTGGTTTTGATTAACCAACCGATTTCCACAACTTACAAACGACTGCTGGTGAGAACTTTCCAGGATTATAGGTTGTGGATGACATGACTCCGATCGTGAGATAGAAATTTGAAGAGGAGAAGGCGCAGCCCTATTCTTTGTAGTGGTTGGCATAAGATTGATTTGCACACTCAAACCTTCGGGAGTGAAGAGAATTGTCCCTGCATCAAGCAAGTCCTGGACTTGGTGCTTAAAAGCTACGCAATCTTCAGTATCATGACCAGGTGTCCTAGAATGAAAATCGCACCTAGCATTGTCGTCAAAGCCATGAGGGCGTTTTTCATGTGTAGTGAAAATTCGGAGTTTGACCAAATGTAATTCTAGCAGGGGAGGAAGCAATTGTGCATACAACATTGGAATAGGATCAAATTTTCGTTCAGGCTGTTTTGGCCTCTACTGACGGGCTTTGCCTTTTGGGTCCTCTCGGGAAGTGACAACTTGTTGCGGATGGGAGGGTCCTTGAATGCACGGTTGCGGAGGAGATACTCCCTGACCTACAAGAGTCCTCAGGTTATGGGGAGGAATGGTAACTCCTATTGTGGCAGGCATAGAAACATCTTCTTTCTTCAACATTGTCCCCAAAATTTCCATAACCAAATTCAATTGAGTCTTCAACTGAGCGTTCTCTTCTTTCAGGAGTTCTTGTCCACGGACCAAATCCTGCATGTCTAGCACCACGAATCCCATCTGTTCTTTCATCTCGTCCAATTCCCCACGAAGTTGTTCCATATCTTGAATCTGACCACGAAGCGACGAGAAGTCAAGATTTGCAACTCTGAAAAGGAAATATCGAGTCTGAATAAGGATTCCCCATTTCTGAATACCTTTGGAGTATCTGCTATGGATGCATGAGGTGAATGAGAGGATGCAATGCCATGTTCAAACATTTTTTTTTGCATATAATCTTTCACATTTCCTTTTTTTGTGTAAAATAAACATGTTATGATGCAAGGTGCAATGACATAAGTTCAAAAGTTCAGCATAACAATTGTACAATCCTCTGGATAACTGTTGTATAAATCTACTGAATAATATGGATATCACAGGATCAAAGGTTCAGAACCAAATTTATCATACAAAGGAACCAAGTACCATGATTAACCGTTGTATAATCTCTGACCAAGTAAAATATATCAGGATCAAAGGTCCGGAACATAACTAGATAACCATCCTGAATACCGAATCCAGAAAAAAAATAAAAAAAAATCTGAGACCCATATAGTCACCAACAGAACAACAGTCACTATCAGAACATAGTCACCAACTGAGCACGAGTAACCATTTGAACATAGTCACCAACTGAGCACGAGTAACCATTTGAACATAGTCACCAACTGTACCTGTAATGACAAATCCCTCCCCACTCACGGGTGAAGACTAGGTCAGGGTAAGACAATGGTAACTCGAAAATCACGGGTCCGCCTGAAAGTAAAATCATCGCAACACAGACGTGCATGATGAAAGTACTTTCAATTGAACCTCATCCGAGCGTGGTATATGACATGACTTCACTAATCGGACCATGTCCTATAGCCGTCATGCCCCCACTCTATTCCTAGGTGTCCTAGTGCACTCTGGCCTGGGTACTGGGCCTTTTACCTCAATAGTAACATCCCCACCCGACATGGAAAACAGAGTCCAGCATAATAGATAACAAATAGGGAAAGCAATAAAATGCAATGCAAACTTATGCTCAGGCAAACATGTACAAATGAGTAAACTGAAAGCATAAAAATAGACACCCAAAGAAAAGAAAGCAAGAGCTAGGAGCGACTCCGGGATGGACAAGCATTTGGTCGACCTATCCCCAGTGAAGTCGCCAGCTGAAACAACCGGCTGAAAATCATCAAACAATGAAGTCGCCATCGAACGTCTTTTATCCCACAGGAAGGGAAAGGTAAACATCGAGAAAACTCGAGAAGGATGAAATCAAGGTCGAAGGACCAAGAGATAAGTGTAAGGGAGTCCGTTACGCGAGGGGAAGGTATTAGCACCCCACACGCCCGTAGTACTCTACGGTATCCACTCTTGTTGCCTATCTTATGGGTGTGTCTAATCTATGCTTACTGTTTACTATACTACTGGAGGAATGCATGCAAAAGAAAGGAGAAAAGAATGTAGGGAAAATAAAATTGTGCTCGTCTGGGCCCTACCCCAATGCCTACGTATCCTTTTTGAGGAATCAGAGCAGTCGTAGTTCGGCTTATGTGTTTTTGTTTGTTTGTATTTTCTTTAACGAACAATATTAATCTCGCCTTCTGCCGCAACTCGACCTTTGGAGATTTACGTGTCAGCACAGAAGTGAATTAATACGCTCTTTTGAAAAGGGTTTGAAAGAAAGGCCCGAGGGCAAAAAGATTTTTATGTTTGTTGGTGTTTTTGCTTGTAGATAATAGCTAGTTAACCTCAAGAGAGAGATTTTAGCCATTTCTCTACTTATTCATGAAATGAGTCTTTGAGACTTAAACCACACCAAAGCTTAGAATAAGAGATCAATAAGGTCGAGAAGAGACCCGCTTATCGTCTCACATACTTAACGAAGATATGATTCTCGTCAGTAAATTTTTTGTATTTTTGAAGTTTACGAGAAAAAGAAGTTTTTGTTTTTAAATGCATATGCGAAAAGAAAAAAAAAAGAAAAGTCACAGGGGGACTAACCTATTTCTAAACCTAAAGTCATCATACCATGCAATCTATGGGAAGTGATAAATGCGGGGTGAGAGTGGAAATAAAATATACCAAACGAGTACTAGCTCGTAGAGCAAAGTAAAAAGCAAAGAAACTTGATGATCTCATGAGCTGCTAGCATCAACAAAGAAAAGAATTAGAAATCCAATGCTCGGAATAAGTGTTGAAGCATCATTGACGTGAAAATAAATCACAATCAGAACCTCAGGCATATCCGTATATCACACAATAAGCATGCATAAGACTCAAATCTCCAAAAACAAAAGTGAATCACGAGTCTCGAGTAATCGGATAATCAAGAATTAATTTCTAAAAATATCTCTTACAATCTAACATTTTTTAGGTTTTTATTATTTTTATCATGGAAAGATATAGAAAAAAATTAAAAAAATCCTAAACTCTACCTATTTTTCTTATTGTTTCATCAGCATTAGTCTTTATTAAATAAAGTTTAAAAGAAAATTTAAACTGAAATAAAAAACTAAAACAATTAGAAACAGATAGGGGGTGAAAATTGGAATAAGGGTTAAAAGTATATCTTCTAATCCTTCTGAAACACAAATCTCCACACAGCGTTGCAGGGCCTTCTTCCTCAATAGCTCACCGCTGTCTCATAATCTCTGTCAAAATCTCTATCGCTAAACAAAATCTCTCCGCCCTGGCTTCCATTCAACGGGAAAGTATTTACCGGGACTTCATCTTTGATGACACGACTCTCCCCTCAGTGAGCTCGCCTCTCAACCTCACCCGTTCGTCAACTCGTCTCAACACCTCCATCTCAGCAAACACCTCCGCAAACCGTCGAGTTTGACTCAATCTCAAACATCTCAACATCTCTTCCGCCGATTCGTTTTCATTTCGATTTTCTCTGTGTTTCATATCTTTTTGTGGATTCAACAACTTATTCGAAACAGAAATTGCAGAGCAACAAAAGAAGATTTACCTACCCGGTAGCTATTCGAAGTGGCGGCGTTAATCAGAAAAGACCATTGGTATAGAAGGTATACTCTTCAATCTCTTTCCTATGCTATTTCTCTTCTTCTTCTTTCTTTTTTCTTGCGTTTCTTTGTGACTTCCAAGTGCGTGTATTGATGAGCATTGATAGGAAGGAGCATAGGGTTGTTGCGGTTGTCATTATGAGTTGTGTTTGAGTGAGATCGTAGGAGTGTGATTTGAGTTTACAGAGAGATGATTTGATGAAGATGAAGCAGGGTTTCAGAAGTAAGTAAAAATGAAGAGTGGCTTGAAGGGTGAAGAGTATTGGTTAGAGAAGAAAGAGAGAGAATTCCGAAAACTTTTTGAGTTCTAGGTGAAAAATGAAGGGTGTTGATGGAAGAGGATAGAAAAAAATTGTGGAGAGAGGATGAAGATTGAAACTGGAAAAGAGAAAGTCTCGTCGTCCCCTCAAACTTGGAGGGAGTTTGGATTATATAGGTAATTGAGGGAGGAAACGGTTATGTGGGAATCAATCTGAACCATTGATTTGGATAGAGTTTGTTAGGGATTGAAGGGTGAGATTGAGAGTTGGTTACAAGGTGGTTATGCTAGTTGGGAATTCTGTTTGGAGGTAGTTAGAGAGTTGTTAATTAATCTTCTGTTTCCCATTCTTCAAGCTTCTGTCCTACAAACAATTCCTTCAGCAGCCAGTTGCTTTGAGCAGATGCACATGTGACAGTACCAGTTCTGATTGAGAACTTCATCTTCTTCAATGTCCAGGCATTCAGCATGAAAAAGCCTACTGCAGCCGGAACATGGGAACAAATTTTCAGCCCTTCCACCCAAACAGGCACAACATGTATCTTTCGGATAATTCTGAGGAGCAGCATCCTTACTAAGTAAATCTTGAAGTACCCAAAACTTTTCCTGGCTACAAATCACAACATCATGCTTCAACCTTGCCGCAATAGTGCCAAGAATATCAATTTCCATGGAACGTGAAGCAAAATCCTTGGAACTTGTCCCAGCATTCTGAATTAGTATGGCACATAGAACCTCTAGAATAGAAGCTGAAGCAGGATATTCAGGTAAATTTAGAGTGGTCAATAAATCAGTAACAAGATTCTCCATTGTGGATTTCAATTCAGAAGCATCCTGAGTCTTTACACTTGCAAGTCGCTGAAGTACACGGGTCCAAAAATAGGAGCAGGCTTCTGTTACTGCATCGCGGCATTTAGCTTGATAACTAGCATCAACCGGGATTTCCAATACAGAATTACTACTCGATGCTTGTCTTAAAGCATCAGGAAGGTCAGCACTACAATGAATTAATTGGAAAAGTAAAGCAGTAATCATCTGGATCTGTCTTTGCTCTGAGGTATTTTCTACATGCACCAGTAAAGAATGCAGGGATTCTAGCTTATGTGTTTCTGTAAACCTTGAATATATATCATTAGATTTTTGATGAAGCTTCCCATTGATTACTGACGTTGTTAACCAACGCAAAAATTTCGACACTAAGGAGTCATCACGAGACTCTTTTCCTAGTTCTTTTTTTGGAGATAGAGATTAAGATGAAAGAGGGAGCAGAGAAGTTTTGTTTAGAATTTTCTGGTGATTTCTTTAGAACGTGTGAAGAATATGCAGAGAGAATTGAAAGTGATGATTTTTGTGATTGAAGTTCAGAGAGTTTGAAGATGAAGATCACAGTGATGTTGAAGGATGATAAAGGAAGCAGAGAGGGTTCTTTTGAGTTTTGGTCGTGATTCTTTTCAATGGTTGAAGAATGAGATGATTGAGAGGTAATAAAATCTTTTTCTGTGTTTTTAATTCCCTCCTCCCCTTCTGTCAATCCCCATTATGTATATATGCTGGAAGTTTTGTTGTAAAATAAGCCATGAGTTGGTTATGTGGTTAGTTAATTCTGTTAGGAAGTTAGGATGCAGTTTGTTATGCAGTTATAAGTGGTTAGAAGGTTTGAGAGTTTGTTATGAATTGGTTACTGAATGTTAGGTATGTCGTAACTGTTTTTGGGTTAGTTAAGTTGGTTAATTGAGATATGGTTTTAGATAGGAAGTTATGGTTAGAAAATTCTGTTAGGGAATTTAGTTGGGGAATAGGTTGTAAGAAAGCTGGAAATTTGTTGTTTAGAAATTCTACTTTGGAAGTTGGTTAAGAAACGGTTAGGAATCTGTGAATTAGAAAGGTTGGTTGAAATTGTGTTAGTTATAAGTTAGAAGTTCTATTTAGAGGAGTTAGGCTGTTAGAGGAAGTTGTGTTAAGGTAGTTAAGAGATGAGCTGGAAAATCTTTATGTGTTAGTTTTGGAATGAAGAGTAGCTAGGATACTGTTTAGTTATTTTTCTACTGGACAGTTAGGGAATATGACAGTTTAGTAGGAAATTAGTTAGAAATTCTATTGTGAAAGGAGGTTAATGGATTTAGCTAAGTTTGTTGAAGGCAATTTTGTTATTAAGAGGTAATATGCTATGTGAAGAAGTTAGTAGTTGAACGAAAATGTTAGTTGGTGTTACCATACTGTTGATTAGCAAGCATGCAATCTGTATTATTTGGAAGCAACTTGCATTGAATATTTAGATCAACATCTTCAGCAGTTGATTGCTTCTGCTTTTTGCATTTACGCCTCTTCCAACTACATGGCCTAGATCGCTTCCCAGTCCTAGTTGTAACACAATTCAAGTCTGGTTTCCCTTCTGACTCTGACTTCTTTCAATTGCAGAGCTCTTGTCTGCTGTCTCATAGAGGAGACCACTATCTTCAGGAACAATAAGATTCCGTTTCCGAAAAGATGCAGCCACAACCTGGCACATTCTTGGGGTTGTAAGACTTAAAGGCATTATCCTTCGCATTTAAAATATCAGCTGGGATGAGTGTTCCAGGAGCAGCCATGAGATCAACTAAAAACTCCCTTTCATCATCTAATTTTATAATGTTGACAGCATCATCCTCAACACCAGTGTAATGACTACCTTTAACCAGTCTACAAGGCATCTGAATGTTGTCTTCTAATATCTTGAAAAGTAAAGCGCGATGCCTAGAGAGCCCAATATCTAAGGACCCAAGAGGTAATACACTTGTGTGAAGAGATGTCCTTAATTCTGTACTTCTTTCTGTCCATTTTGTTAATATAATATTAGCATCTTTTACAGGGCCGCCCATATGGCTAGTAACAAGTTCAGCAAGCCTTTGCACTAAAATACCAATCTTAGAGACAGGGCAGTCCAATGCTATACAGTGTGCAATTTGCACCAGCTCGTCCAGGGCAGGATCAATTGTTCTATTAACTATGAATACTTCAAAGCTAGAACCACCTGAGTTTGTTTCAAGATCAGCTAGAGATGGCATCTATCCTTGCATTGCTGGGTCATTATAGAGGCCATATATGTCATAAAAACCATCAACTACTTTCTCTTCATAGTCAAGCACATTGTATTCCCAATACTGCCTCGAAGAAGATCAACAATGCATGTATAATGATCAACATGAGGAGTAACTTGGTATTTTTTTGTATGAATGTGCAAGTCATGAACTGAAGATGGAGAACTTTAGCATGGCATGGAATTAGAAGCTTACTCATGGAATTTTAGCATCTTTAGGACTAAAGAATTTTGTTCAAGTGTATTTTGTAATAGTTTTTTTTTGTGTAAAATATTGGTGTGATGGGATTGTAATGAATGTTTGGTTTGGATGAACTTGAAATTTATAGTGTGAATTGTAAATGACCTTTGAGCTTGAAATGTTGGGTGATGAATTTTAAGGACGGGGTTTAAATGACAAAGTCTTGAAAAATGCTTGAAGATATGAAAGCATCAAATTTTCTTGTAAGGTATTGTTACACTTGAATTAAATTGAATGGAATTGGATAGTATTTTCTTGAATCATGAATGAGAATGAAATTGAATGGAATTGGATAGTATTTTCTTGAATAAATGTTTGAACGCATTGTGAACTTGAATCTGAAATAACGGTGAACATCTTTGTAATGCGTATGAACTCTGACTTGAAACAAAACCTCGCAGTCTGTACTTTACCTTCCAAGAAACTCATATGACCAATACTTAAGGCTCTTTGCCAACTTTAATCCAATCAAACACTTTTAAACATCTCGAACTCAAATCAAACTTCAAATCCATATCACACTTGCATTCTCAATGAACTCCTAACTTCAATCTTGAATCCCAAATCAACTTGAATGACAAACAATTTGAATAGTCAATAAGATCTTGATCCTAAAAAAATCATAACCTTGCTTTTTGTATCATGCCTCATATTCCACGATTCAATCCACAAGTCTCTTATCTTGACAAAGTCTTTCCCTAATTGACGACCTTAAATCATCAAAGATGGATGTAAGTGATAATGAAAGAATATGATCAAGATTAATATGAAACCTTATTTGCCCTGATCTTCAATTACTTGAACTTTTATCAATGAATAGAAACCCTGATTTTTAATGAATTTTTCTTTTCTGAACCAATATTTCTTTTCCTTTACCATACCATTCTTCAAATGCAACTCGAATTCCCAACACATATTAGATGAAAATTCAAGGGAGACCTTGGTCCCAAAGTTAATTTTTCAAAGCTTACTTTAACCGAAGTCAACAGATCTTATCCACATATCTTTGAAATTGACCCATGATTATGCATCTCAAGGTCTCATAAGAGCTTGTAAGCCCATCAACCAGGTATGCCATGTTGAACAAACCCTGCCTTGAATGCCTTGAACCTTGAATTACCTTGCATGAATTCTTCTATGAGAAACTTACTTCAATCCAAACCTACTCGCATCGCAGATAACAAATGACAATGATGAGGACAATGATTGCCTTGGTTAAGGAGAAATCTATGAATTCATATCTTAGGTCATGAACCACGCTTCACAATTCAATCCTCAGCCCTTAGCGATCGGTTATTTCAACTTGAGATTAGTGTCATAAGGAACATCTTACAGATGGATGATAAAGTCTGAATCACAGAAAAATTCCCTTGATGTGAAACCCTCACAATCTTTATTCCTCGTTTAGACGCACGGAGAAATATCCGGATAAAACATCTTTGAACCATGATTCAACAAAAACCTAATTTGATTAACTGAGGAGTAGACGATTGTCATGTCACAGTCATTAACCCTAATCAAATGACAAGCATACTTATAGGAAAGGACGTCATGATTCGAAGCCCACATATGCTAGGTCACGTCCTAGAGTTCTTGACCAGAATGACCTACAATCGGTTGTTCATCAGAAGATAATAGCCTTGCTGCTTGAGGGAGAAGAAGTCCTTTATTGGATATGAGCGCCTTAACCACTATGAAACCCTAGTATCGCACAACCACTGAACTTTGAACCTCAGAGCTATATTGAATGAAATGTATGCCATGTTAGTGACCTAATGAAAAAGATGCAGATGAATGCAAAAGTCTAAGCCAAAATAAAGGAAATTAGGAGGGCAAATTTTGGGGTGCAACAATATAGGCCTATGAGACTTGATTGAACCATTGAGAACCCCAAATTCCCTGAAAGAACCAAAACCCTAATTTCAGCTGTCTTAGGAGATGTTTTGACTATACCACCCTTGAACAATTTTGAGCAATTTGAGGACCATTCTTAACAAATCTTGAGGAATATGGGAGGGCAAATTTTGGGGTACAACACTTGCTCAAAATAAAAAAAAACTTTTCACACCAACACTTTTCAAAAATAGTTTTCAAAATAACTTCGTCACACTCTTGAAGACCGATACAAGGGTTATCACGAAGTAAACAAAACACTTTTCAAAACATACAAAGGCAATTTAAAAATGAGCAAGTACCTAAGAGCCCGTGGAAAACCATGGATAGAAAGGGTGCTAACACCTTCCATTTCTATAATCTACCCCCCGTACTCAGAAATATCTCGAAAAAAGGTTTTCTGTGTTCTTTTTCCTTTTCCTTTGTTGGATGAAATAAAAGTCGGTGGTGACTCTTGCTTACCGCAACATTTGCGAATACAAAACGCAAAACCAGTATAACAGTCGGATCTGCCACCGTGTCACAGAACTGGAGACTCTGCTGGGGAAGATCTTTATAAAGTGGGGTTTACCTTAGGATTTAGGTAATTTTTAAATTGCTTTCATGTTTGCTTTGATTTATCTTTAAGCGCTTTTTCTTGGATATTGTTAAAGATCCTACACCCGGATCTGGGGCACTTTTTAGGTAAACAGCAATAGATCGTGGAGACTGTACGACATAGACCGATATGGTTTAAGCGATGGCTGTGTTGGTGTGACACTTTGGTTGGTACCAGTATCCTTCGTGTGGAAACAAGGAGAATACAGGGCTGTCACGTGGTGTCGTGAAGCACTAACGGACCTTAGAACCTTAGTTGAACAAACTTGGCCATTAGAAAGTAGTGAGATAGCCGGCCTCGGTATAAAGCTGAGGATTGGTTGATACTCGATGCTACACTCATTGAGGTCAGACTTTTGGGATATTTCGGCTGCAAGAAAAGATTCCTTGAGATGAAACAATGCCCGATAAAGGATGATCGGTGATATTGAGAATCTTTAGAACCCAGTTACTTTTCTAAGACAGGATTGAAACCAACTAAAATTCAAGAGGGTACTTACCTTTAACCTCATGCAAGCCTTTGAACCTAAGGTCTATTGTGTGTGATTTATTCTCTTTGAACATAACATCATGCATCATAACATAGCATCCATTCTTATTACACTAATCATTTCTAGGACCAAGGGAATTTATCTTTGTTCTGTTTTGCAGATCATGGCTTCCGCTCGTAGAAACACTGATCGAATCAGCTTTGTGAGAATACCTCCCCAACTCAAGGAGAGAGTATCAAGGGTTCCTGAAACTTCTGCGTTCACTAAGAGACATGGTCGACTTCTCAACATGGCTACTTCAAACTTTGATGAAAATATGATGGGTGTACTCTTTGAGTTCTTTGATCCCAAGCATCACTGCTTCACCTTCCCAGACTACCAGTTGGTGCCTACCATGGAAAAGTTCTCTCAGTTATTGGATATACCCATTCTTGAACAGTTTCCTTTCACAGGTTTAGAAGAGGTTCCTAATCCATAAGTCATTGCCCCAGCCTTGCATCTGAAACAGACCGACATGGTATCGAATTGGGAAACAAGAAGCGGAGTCAAGGCTTTTCTAGCCAAGTTCCTAATAGACAAGGCACAGCTGTTTTGGGATGATATGGACTTTCAGGCTTTTGAGGAGGTCTTGGCCCTTCTAATCTATGGTTTAGTACTATTCCCTAATCCAAACTTACTCATAGATGTGAATGCTATCAAGATCTTCCTCTCTCGCAACCCTGTGCCTACCTTGCTCGGAGATATCTTGCACGCTCTCCATACTCGTACCATGAAGAGAAGAGGGTTTCTTATGTGCTGCATGACATTGCTGTCGAGGTGGTTTATTTCTCACTTCCCTAAGTTTGTACTGAAGAATGAAGAAGGTTTGGGTTGGTCGCAAAGGATAATGTCACTCGCTCACACAGATATTCTCTGGTATTCCCGAGCTATGGGAGATACTGTTATTATTGACTACTGCGGGGAGTACCCTAATGTCCCATTACTTGGCATTAGAGGAGGCATAACTTACAATCCTTGTTTGGCTCTGCAATAATTTGGTTACGCTCGAAGGGATGGTCCCCATGAGTTACTTATCAAGGGAATTGTATTTAACTATGAGGGTGATGTTCAAGGGTATCGCCAGAGGTTCATACGAGCTTGGAGCATGGTAAAAAGATCTCGCGCCAAGGCTTTGGGGCTGAAGGCTTCCATTCCTATGGAACCTTATCTCCAATAGATATGAGCTCGCGCCCAGAAACTTATGATTCCCTACATAGCCGTCTTACCAGTGATTGTGGAGCCCATTACTGAATGGGATATTCCCTACACGGTTCTTCATCCTGATATGCCCACTGATCTTGAATAACTACAGAGGTGTTGGATTTAGTTGAAGAAAGAGCGGGATACTTATAGGGATCAATTCTATGCCCAGGAGAGGAAGGTTTTAGAGCTCACAAAGCAGTTTCAGGAGGAAATAAGCCTTAATGTCTATCTCGGCACGAAGAGGAAGCATCCATGGGAAATTTGATTTTTTTTCTAGTTTTTTTAGAATTGTTTTTAATTGCAATGCCTAAAAGGCAATTGAACTTTGAATTCTACTAATAAAATCTTTGTTTCATTTTGGTTCGCAAATTTAAATTTCCCAAAGTCCTTGAAATCATTACATACGCATCCCATCCATAAACACTACATATACAGGTACCATTACAGGCTTCTCATCTTCTTCGTTGTTTATTTCAGCAGAAATGTCTTCTGAACAAAGCATCA